TTTTGAATCCTGATTTAATTTTATATGATATATTTAACTCTTATGTGGCGACAATTTTGTTGGGAAAATAGCACTGATCAATATTAGAGTGTAAAATGACTGTTTTTTCGGACTATCGACACCATTTCTGCATTAGTATAACTTATTAACATTATTATAATTATTTCTTTCTTAATTGCTCGCTATAAAAAAAATTATATACATAATATAATATACGAAAAGAATGTGCTAACAATAATAATTTATATTTTAGAATCCAAATAGCCATTAAATTAATTAAACCATCAAATTCAAGACTTACAATTGACTCCGACATCATTAGAGTTTGTCCTATAAATACCACCTTCGTTTTCCTTACACAATGTGCCACCCATCTTCTACAGAACCCCTTAACACTCACATTCTCCCACCCCTTCTTCTGTTTGTTTTCTTTTCCATATATAACAAACATGCAAACGCAACCAATTTCCACTGTCGCCTTCACGCTCTTCCTCCTCTTGTTGTCTCCACCACGCGCCGCCGCGGCAAGGCCACCACCAGATCCACTTCGTACATCATGCGCGCAGGCCAGGTACCCCGCTCTATGCGTGCAAACCCTCTCCAACCTTTCCAACACCGCCGCCAAGCCCCTCGACCTTGCCCAGGCCGCCGTCAGAGCTAGTCTTGCCCGTACGCGCGGTCTCTCCGCCTACCTTTGGGCGCTAAAGGCTGCATCGCAGGGTTTCGAACTGAGGCAGCGAGTTGCGGTGAGTGACTGCGTGCAGCAGATATCCGATTCGGTGAGAGAATTGAGCAAGACGCTGTACGAGTTGCAGCACCTCCGCGACAACACCTTCCAGTGGCAGATGAGCAACGTCCAGACCTGGACCAGCGCCGCCCTCACCAACGGCGACACTTGCATCTCCGGCTTTAACGCTGTCGCCGCCGCCGCCTGGAATATGAAGTTAGAGCTCAAGCAAAGAGTCACGGACGTTTCCATGTTCACCAGCAACGCGCTTTACCTCATCAGCCGTCTCGCTGACAGCGTCACGGGGAAGCCTCGCGCCAATTCCGGGAACTGATCCTGTCCGTTCATCACGGTTCTTAGGTATGAATATCTGAAGAGTGTGTTTGGAAAGATGTTAGAAGGTAGAAACCACGTTTAAGCGTTTTTTTTTTTCAAACACGCAAGCACCTGTATAAGTAGTAAGGATCTGTTTGCAGTATAAGCTTTGGTATTGGTTTTCTGCTAAGTAATGAACGTGTGAATTATACTGTTACTAATATAACATGGCTTGACTCGGTTTTCTTATTAATGTAAAATATGTAATAATTTTTATTTTCTATACTGCTTACCTTATTATTATTATTTTATTTTCGCTTCTTTCTTCTAACCTGCTCAAGCTTCCAACTTTCATTTAGCACATTTCAATTATTAAATCTACTATAACTTATATAAATTGAAGAAAATAAAACATATTACAGGAAAAATAGCTAGCATAAAATTTTAGTTTACTACAAAAACTAGTGAAAAATAAAAGCTTATCCAAAACAGGTTAAGGAAAACATAAAAAATTACATGTGAAAGAATTGTTAATTTAAATACTTTCTTAATTAAATTCGACAAACCAAATAGAGTTAAAATAGTATTTATAATTTCTTTACGATTTAGTATACATAAATATAAATTTCCTTCTCTAAACATATTTTGAAATAGTAAATAATTAGATCGTCTTAAGCTAATAAATTATTTAACCCGCAACTTTTCTCAGTAGATAATGCATACTCGTACTTTCATGCAAATCTATGAAAGTTTAATCACGTGACTTGTGTTATATGGATGCGATGCGATCTATACACATCTCTTAATAAATGTGGCACATGTGAAAGTGTTACTATAATCCTTAAGTGCTGACTAGCGATGCATTGTAGAATATTTAAATTGGCTTGTCATGTGAATGGCACAAGTCAGAATTCAAGAGTAACCTTGTTGACTAATATGGGTCCAACTAAAAATAATTATGATGAATATACACTATTATGCAAAACGTGGATATAACCACGAGATATAACGTAACTTATTAACAAAATAATATAATAAAAAATATGATGATAATTTCGTAAATATTTAAAGCAGTATAATATGGGATGGATGGATAATAGATGAAGTATCAAATTTGAATTAAACTTTAAAAATAAAAACACGATACTATTGTGTAGTATCAGTTTTTATCGAAAGTGTGTGCTTTTTTTTATCTTTTTTGTTCAAATTTTTTTTTTCTCGTACTTGGTTTCAATATCATTGTTTGTTTTCCTCGTTCATCATTGTTGTATGTCTCGTTTATGTTTCTCTCCATTCGAAACATCGAAAAACAATTGTTGTTGGACCTCCATTGACGTCCTAGAGGAGCTTCTGTGTTAGTATCACCGCCACCACTCAACCCTTATCATAGTTTATTCTTGTTTTTTTAAGTGTGCTTAAATCAAGTGATAATATATGATTTTAGTTTCAAGAATGTAACAAAATCGTGTTAAAAATGTCTATAGTTTGATACGTTTGCAACTTTTCCCTTACATTAATAATAAAATAAAAAGTTTAAGTATCCTTTTTTTTTCAATAAATTTAGCAATAGTAAAGTATACAATTTTGTACTATATAGACTAATTTAACTATATACACTTTTAATATAAAGTTGACTATGAAATTTTGATAAGTAATTAATATACTAAAATACAAAAAATAAGTTAATTAATAAGTTAAATTTATATACAACAAAAAAGTGAATTATCAAGTTGAGTTTGTGCAAAAGAATCAAAATATTGAGATTATACATAATTGAACATATCAAATCAAATATTTAGCTTTCGACATTAAGTCAACCTTCAAATTTATCTAAAATCCTATTTTTTTCAAGTGAAAAATTCTTATGTGACTCAACAAAATAACTTGCTTCAAGCTCAATGATTAAAAGATGTCGAATAAAATCATAACTAATTATGTGATACATGATTCATCGGGGTTTTAACTAAAGTCAATACAATGAAAGTGTTTTTCAATCACAAACAAAGTGCTAAAAAAAATTATGGTTATGAGTGGTATACACAAAAAAGCATAAAAGTAAAATACTAATGTTAAAACACAACAAAGATAATGTCTAATCTTGACAAAAAAAAATGTAGTTACACATGAATGAAATAGAAAGAAGATACAAAAATGAAGAAACTAAGTTGAAAAGCTATGGAAGCACGAGGGAAGCCTTCCACCAATTCACCCATCACGTGAGAAACGTATTTTCTCTAAAACCTAGTGCTGTCAAAATGGATTGTAATCCGCAAGCCAACCCAACTTACCGCGGGTTTGAGTCAGGTTGGATTTGAAAAAAGTGTAACTTTTTTATGCGGGCTAGTTTTCAAGCCAGCTCACTTAGAACCCAACTCACCGGGTTGTACCAGTGGTGAGCTGGGTTGGTTCACCAACCCACCTAATTTAATTTAATTTAATTATTTATTAATTTATCTTTCAATATTATTAGTTATCGTTTTCTTTATTATATTGTAGATGGTGATAAAAAAGAAAATGTTTCAAGAGAGAAAAATATTGTAGATTTATCTATTCAATACTCTAATATTATAAATGGATAAGTGATACAAAAATTATGAATATTAAAAACTTATCTGTTTGCCTTTTGTACATGTTTTTTATTGTATGATACTTTTTATTTATTTTAAATTGTCTTTCGAGTTTAACATATTTTAGTGTGACATTTATTTAGATTTGAATTAAAAAAAAATTGTGACACCTGGGCACTGAGGTGCAAGAGGCACGAAGTGCAAGGGACACAGACAAGGAGCGACTCCTAGCAGGCTTCCAGTGGAAGGGACACATGGATGAATCGAACATACACCAGAATGAGAGAGATCTAGAGACTTTATAGGTATGAGACTATATAGTTAGAGAATAAGTTAAAAGGATTGATTTGGCTACTCATATCACCAAAATGCATTTGCGGGGGCGTTACAAAATAATTTGACTATTTAACAATTTTTTAATTATTTTATTATATTAATATTTTAATCACCACTTGACATATCTGATTCCTCACTAATGACAAACGTGGAGTGCTTATCCACTATCACTATTTTAATTTTTTTTAAACAAAAAGGTAGAAAAGAATTTGAACCCATGTTCTTAAAATCACCACAATTTCTACCATTTAAGTTACCAAAATTTCTTATTTAGCTTTCCACATTTTATTTTTACATAAACATAAAATTGTTACTATTAAGGTAAATATTTTTCATAGGTATTACAAAAATTATAATTTTTTATTTTAAAAATTTTTATAATTAAATGAACCCGTGAGTCAACCCGTTTAACCCACCAACCCGTGGTAAGTCGGACCGCGTTCAAATTTTTTCAACTTATTAATAAGTGAGCCGGGTTTGATTGACTCACTAAGTGACCAACCCATAATACGCCGAGCCGGATTACCTGTTTTGAGAACTATTCTAAAAAGTATGTCTAAAATCTCAAATGCATTAACTCTCCTTAATGTTTCTCAAAAATACTGGTAATAATACTTGGAATAAAAAATGAGTTAAAATCATTATAATTTTTGGTAAAATTAATAAAATAAAGACTTCCTAAGAAACAACTGAACATAATGCAAGTTTGAAAAAACAATATAAAAATTAAAACTGTGTTTTATACTTACTTTATAATCAATTTTACACAAGGGTTATATTTTAATTAATACAATTTATTTTATTATTTTGTATTTCATAATTATTTATTTTAAATTTAATTAACTATTTAATTAAAAATACGATCTTATATTTTAATAATTATAATATTTTTTATTATGATAACAATAAAATGGTCATAATATGTGTGTACAGTAATATGTTTTAAGGGAATGTTAATAATAATATTTAACAGTGAATCCATGCAGTGGACTGGGCCTATAGGCCCAATATTTGCCGCCTAAGAATTAGAGTTATTAACAATACTATGAATCAGTTTAGGTATTTTCTTATTGTCTGGGTGCTTACACTGATAATAAACCTTGGGAGCAAGCTTGCTAGGGTTTTATCACCTAATCGACCATGGAAGGCCTTGAAATGGAGGAACCTGCATTTTGCACAGACGAAGGCGACGATGATTTGTGCAATTCAATCATCTCTCGTTTTGGCAACTCATCGGAGGAAAGCCACCAGCGCCTCTGCGCTGTCATCGGCGCCATGTCGCAGGAGCTCAAAGACAACAACAAACCCTCCACTCCGTTTGCCTACTTCTGTGCTGCACGTCTTTCCCTTGACAAATTCACGTCTGAATCCAATCCCTCCAGCCATATCATCGACGCGCTTCTCACCGTTCTCTCACTTGCCATCCCCAGAGTCCCCCGCGTCCTGTTGAAGAAGGAGAGTCTGCAGGAACAGCCATTGTCCGAGAGCCTTCTGCGAGTTCTCCGATCTCCGTCCGCATCGGAGAGCGCTATTGTTTCCGGATTGAAGTGCCTCTCACATTTGTTGATTGCTAAGGAAAGCGTGGACTGGTCTGACGTGTCTCCCTTATTCAATGTCTTGTTAGGATTCCTTACGGATGCAAGACCAAAGGTACTTATTCATTTTTTAGAACCTGACTCTGGAGTATGTTATAGGCATTCCTGTTATGTTTTTTGGAATTATAAAATAATCTTAAAAATTTGCTAATAAGATAAATGTTTGTGCGATCATTTGCTTCTGAAATTATTTTTAATTAGCATACAATTACTTTCTTTACATGTTCTGTTTGATGGGTGAAAATTATTAGTAAAATCTTTCCAGAGCAAAAGCAGCAGTATGTTTTTCCAAAATGAGCTAAGGTTAGAGTTTAATGTAACTGATCACTCTCCAACACATTATCATTCTAGTTAATTCAAGCTCAGGAATAGCTGTCTTTGCTCATCCTTGTAAGTGATATTCGCTGTCATGACATTCTTTTCAAGAAGTTTAAAAAACATAAGGAAAACAAGTCATTTCTAGTGAGATGGCTCTGGTGATTGAGGGCTATTCAGTGATGACAGAGGAAGAGTAGGTTCTGATAACTGTTATAATGGTCTGCGGTGGAATAATTTTGGCTTCGTATTTTCCTTGTTAAAGTTAAGTCACTTGCTATAGGACCTGGGTGATTTGCAAACTTGCAGCCACACGAAGAAATGAACATAGAAAAGTATTAGTAGTTTATGGTGGTTTATGATTTGGAATTTTCTATTTATGACGGGTCTCCTAACAAAGTATAGTAGATCCTAAATTTCCTACATAATACCCTTTTAAGATAATTGATGGAGGGCCCAAAGCTTTGTAAACCAAATTTTTTTGGTACAAATTTGAGTGTTTATAACAGTACATTATGTAATCAACAACAAATGGCCTTTGTCAGCAGGCACTATGAGTTCATTTGTTATTTATAACTATAACTATTATTATAACAGTCAAATTTGCTCTAGGTAGCAAAATTTGATTGCTTGGATTCTTGCTATTGTTTTTGTTGCTCTGACTTTACTGCCTGGTTTATAGAGAGAGAGAGAGAGCATGAATCTGTTTAATTTTTCCCCATAAGGAAGCACTAACCATTAAATACCTGCTTGGTTTACTCATTGCTTGCACCTAATAGCCATAACAAGAAATATTTAAAATTGCAAAATAAAAAGGGAGGACCTAAAGCATGTTATGAAGTAGAGAACACAAGGCCTGTTAGTGGAAAAAACTTACCTCCTAGATGAATCAATCATTTTCTGGAGTATAAATCCAATACAATCAGAACACGTAATTTGATATTTTGAAGGATGGTCACATTACTTTTGTTTTGTTTTCTATATGACTTCTTTGGGTGTTGACTAAGGAAGTGCAATGTTTGCTGTATTGTGAAATATGCTCGAATCTCTGTGTGCTAACTATATCTATGCACAGGTCAGAAAGCAATCACATTTGTGTCACCGTGATGTCTTGTTAAACTTTCAAAATTCTTCACTATTGGCGTCTGCAAGCGAGGGAGTCACAGGCCTACTTGAAAGGTTTATATTGCTTGTTGGTGGAGCAAATGCAAGTACTGGTGAAGGAACTAAGGAAGCTCAGCAGATTCTGTATATTCTTGATGCCTTGAAAGATTGTCTTCCTTTTTTGTCACGGAAATCTAAGACCAGCATTCTTAATTACTTCAAATATCTCTTGGATCTGCATCAACCCCTAGTCACAAGGCGCATTACAGATGGTCTGAGTTTTCTCTGTCACTATCCATTGTCAGAAGTTTCCCCTGAAGCGCTACTTGAGTTGTTAAACACATTGGCCCGTTCTACGGAATCAAATAAAATGTCTGGAGACAGATTAACATTTACTGCTCGCTTGCTTGATGCTGGAATGAATAAAGTTTATTCTCTTAACCGACAAATATGTGTTGTCAAGCTTCCCACTGTCTTTAATACCCTTAAAGGTAAGATGTGAATTCTGCTGTGCTTTTGGATTTTGTAGATATTGTCAGAAGGCAATTATGAAAGTGGTATACTCCTTCTGAAAAATGCAGATATTTTGGCATCTGAACATGAAGAGGCTGTATATGCAGCCACTGATGCACTCAAGAGCATGATATGTTCTTGTATTGATGAAAGCTTGATTAAACAGGGAGTGGAACAGATCAGTTTGAGTGAAAACAAAGAATCGAGGAGATCAGCACCAACCATCATTGAAAGAATTTGTGCAACTGTTGAGAGCTTGTTTGATTATCACTACACTGCAGTCTGGGATAGAGTATTCCAAGTTGTTTCAGCTATGTTTCAGAAACTAGGTGCGTATTTGAATGATATTATTTTGGGGAACTAAAGGAAAAATCTATTTTATTTCTTGTTATAATACAAAACAAATTATGACAAATAGTTTGATACCTTTTTATTTTTAATTTAACTATGAAAAATGTAATTTATTAGACATTTTGTTTATTGAAATAGACTATCTTATAATCTGTTGTCACATAACATATACAAGCAATTTTTTTTCATATAACAGATTGTAACAATAATTGATTATAGATATCTTTCTCATAGCTACGCTATATATTTGATTTTTTAACTATTAATTTTTTGTTGGCCATTGGTGACATGCATTATTTTTTTGCAGTTTAGTTAAATTGTGTAAAACTTGATTTGGTCTCATTTCATGAATTTTTTAATATTATCCGATAAAGAAATCTTGGTATGGATGGCTTGATGCTAACATATGAGTTTATGTTCAATACAGGAAACCAGTCGCCTTATTTTATGAGAGGGATACTAAAGAACATGGAAGAAGTGCAGAAGCTTCCAGATGAAGATTTTCCATTTAGGAAACAGGTCTCGTCTTCGTTATCATTTTTTTTCTTAGCCATGTTTATACAGAGCTTACAATTTTGCATGTATTTTGAATTATATTATGATGATTTTGGAGATTCAAAAGCAATTAGGTAGTGATTGTGAACCTGGTGTTCTAGGTGACAAATCTGTGTTCATCCCTTGCTAAATGTAATCTACTGGGACATTTAGTGTTGTTGATGCATGATGCATGTGTTTAACTGGTAACAGAGTGTAGTTGCTCCAAGCTGTACAATTGAGTTTTTTTATGTTCAATTATTTTTGAAGAAGTTTAGTGTATTACTTTTTCTTGGTTCCTTAATCAATATTATTATTTTGGGGATGTGGAACTTGTCTGTTCTTTTTTACTTTTTCTGTCTATGATGTTCCTGATATTTTTACATTTTATGATTGCAGCTGCACGAATGCTTTGGAGCAGCTCTAGTAGCAATGGGACCTGCAACTCTGTTGTCCTTTGTACCTCTGAATTTGGAAGCTGAAGATTTATCTGATGCAAATGTCTGGCTTTTTCCAATTCTAAAACATTATATTGTTGGTGCACCTTTACATTATTTTACTGAAGAAATTCTGGTAATGATCAAGCGTATGAGGGAGAAGGCTCAAAAGGTATATTTGTTTTTTCTAAAAAAGGTGCAGTGTTATATTAAATCACAGTGTTAACTTATTTATGCATGCAGCTTGAGAAGCAAGGATTGATGGTGTCATCAAGGAATGCAGATGCAATTGCATACTCGTTGTGGTCTTTGCTGCCTTCATTTTGCAATTATCCTTCAGACACTGCTAAAAGTTTCATGAATCTAGAGAAACATTTGCGTAGTAAGATGAAAGAAGAACCTGATATTCGTGGAATAATATGCACTAGCTTGCGACTTCTGATTCAGCAAAACAATATTTTGGATTTAGAACACAAGGGTTATATTGGTGAGGATATGGCCAAAGAACAAGTTCACTATTCACAACAGGTTGCAACAGACAATTTATATGTACTGAAATCATCTGCAAAGAACTGGTTAAAAGATTTATCAGAAGTATTCCTTAAATCTACGAAAGATGATGGTGGTTGTTTGCAGGTACTCAAATTTAAATAATTAGGAATGGTTCTGCAATTTACTATAGTTGAATAGAATGCAAATCTTGCCTAACACAACATATAGTTAGAGTTTTTTGTTCTGTATATGTTGGTGGTCTCTATTTTCGTTTTTCTTCCATGATTTTTATTTCCTAGTTATGTAATTGATATTAATCCTTTATTATTCACAAGATATGTCTTAAGCTTCATTATAACTCCATATTTGATACCGATTTTGTTATGTAATGTCATTAGATTAGATTTACTTATTATCTATAAATTGGTTGAGACACTTAATTGTCCTGTGTCAATCAGTATGTTGGAGTAGAGAAGATGCAGACAGTTTATGTAGATAGTTGTCAAAGAAATTATGTCATAAGCTGTTTTTGATTTAGACACTGTTCTGTATCTGGATTATTGTATGAATTCTTTCATGTGACTGGCACTATGGTTAACTCATGGTTTAAGTATATGTGTGTGTGTGTGTGGGGGGGGGGGGGGACATGTGTACTCCTTTTATTTATATTCATCTTTGACTGGCAACTGAATAGTGATCACAAAGTCTTGTAGAACTCATTAAGTTATACTAATAGTTAGTTCTCAATGGCAAAAACAAAAGGCTGTAGAAGTGCATTTTCAAGTTTCAGCTCTTCAGTTGTCAATTTATTGGAGATAAAACAATTCTTGCACGAGCCAGTTGTAAAAAATTGAATACCTAATAAAATAATAACAAAGCTTGTTATTTTACTTGTTGTAGGTTGATATTGCATAGATAGATTAGCTGAAGAATCTTGAGACAACTAGGGCTCACAGATGTTAATTACACTAGCCTCTCCTAAATTTTTGTGATATTACACAAACTCCTTGTTTATTCTACTTGTACAGTCACCTTTATTTGTTGTTTGAAAACGTGCACTTCGTTCTCTTATGTAACGGCAGGTTTCTGTAAATGTAATGCAAGCACGGGGAGTTTGTGTAATTTACTAAAACCTTGGGTAATTTATGTAATTTACTGTATTAAGAAGAGTGATTGTGATTGTTAGAATTTAGTGTATTCTTTCAATATTTTATTGTGTGGGCTTCCATTTCCATTTGTTGGACCTTTTTAAATTGAAAGATAGCTACCTTGAATTCCAAGTGTTGTCTTTGATGTACGGGGCAATATTTCCAGTAAAATATTCCCCTCTGGTAAAATAGTACGTAGAATATTGTCATTCATACACATATATAGGTAAGTTATGAGAAAGAAGAATTTTCCGTGGTATACTGTTTGAATTGATTCTCTTCTTTTTACATTTAAACGTGTACAAGAAGTTAATAGTGTTGATCTTGCTTTCATGTACAGTGTACAATTGGTGATGTTGCTTCTATAGCAGATAAAGCAGACGTAAGGAATTTGTTCAAGGAAAAAATGGTGAAGCTTTATAAAATCACTCAGAAAGCCAGAAAAGTAGGAAGCTCCACAAATTCTCATTCTATGCAGATTGATGATGCATCAAACAATTTGTCTCCATCAATTTTAAGGTGCTTATAATCATCTATTTCTTCCACCTTGCCTTGTGATTATTTACGAAGTTGTAAACTTTATTTTTTCTGTCACATGTCTATTTTACTTAAATTATTTTATTTATTGAGTTTCTGCATTTATTTCATATATTTTTTTTATCCCAGGGCACAGCTTCTTGATTTAGCAGTTTCACTGTTGCCTGGTTTAGATGCTGAAGATATTGCTCTATTATTTGAAGCAATAAAGCCAGCATTTCAGGTATGACTGTGATATAAAGCACTGTAAGGAATTTTCCAATCACCTTTTTCTAACAGGAAAGGATGATTATATTGATTATTATTTGCAGGATGTTGAAGGTGTCATGCAGAAGAAGGCATACAAAGTACTTTCAATCATTCTTAAGGTATTTTTTTTCCTTCATTTTATTTTATTTTCCAGTGAACTTAGAAGTTTCAAATTAATTCCTTTTTAATGTAATGTTTTTCGTTTCAGTATTCTTGGTACTACTTCCTTGCTAAAATGCTCTTCCATAACCGTTGTTGCCCTGTATATGCATATTGTCAGGATCTATAGTTGATTGTGTTCTATTAATTCGGCTTAATTCTTTATCTTTATCTTTAAGGGATCATCAACGATGTCATTACTATAGAGTTTCTTGGAGCCCCACAAATTAATTTTAGAAGTTGATGATTTTACTGTAGAGCTAGTGTCATGTTGGTAAATATTTGTGCTTACAGTTTTCTCTTTTGATCATTCTTGACAGAGCTCAGATAGTTTTGTTTCATTAAAGTTTGAGGAGCTGCTTGGAACTATGGTTGAAATTCTTCCATGTCATTTTTCTGCCAAACGACATAGACTTGATTGCCTTTATTTCTTGGTTGTTCATGTCTCGAAGTCAAAGGTATTCCATGCACGACTGTTGCTTCTATGTTTTTGGTAGACTATTGACATGTACTCTTGTATAAGTAGAAATAATCTGAAACTTTGTACTGCCTGTAGGATAACCTGGAGCACTGGCGAGACATTTTCCTTACCGAAATTATACTTGCTCTTAAAGAGGTATTGTTATATTAATTGTGGAAGGTTTTTAGAAGTACAGTTTTAGTTTCAATGCTGGAAACTATTATATGTTTGGATGGAATAAGATTCGATATGAAGAGTCAACTGGGGACTTGCAGCAAAACCTTGTAGTGTTGGTGTTCATGTTTCCTCTATAAGACATGTAACATGGCTGCTGCTTTTTGATTGTCTAATTATTTTTTGCGTTTTAGCTGACCAATTTTAAGGCTCCTAAAACAGCATTTTTTTATGTTTTTGTTTGGTGGAGTCTGGGGCTTAAGTATACAACCTACCATGTGGGTGTGGGGATAGGAAAAGATAAGTTGAAGTTTATGCGAAGCAGTGTTGGATTTCATCATGGGATCTACTATTAGTCTCTAGCAACTGGTATCACGTAATGCATTTGCGTTTATGTATCATAGCGCAACATATTTCGGTCATGTATAAATAGCTTGGGGTAATAGTAGTTCAGATCAGAATCATTCTGGAAGGATTTTTTCAAATGTCGTAGGATTTGTAACGCTTTCACATATGGTTGGCGTTTGTTTTATTTGCATATACTATTTTATTACTATGGGTTATATATTTATGTAATGTGCTCCAATTCAATGTTGACGGGCTGTTGCATAATGTTCCGATAAATTTTGTCTATTATTTCTTAAATGTAAAGAGTCCCTAAAGCCACTGTTTTCATTGCTTATAGCGTTTAAAATTCAAACTTTAATTTCTACTTGTGTTTGTTTTGTTTATCTATTGTATGTATTCTACGTATTTAACCTATTGCTTTTTGTCTGTACATCTTTAGTATATCTTTTGTGGTCTTGACCATTTATATACATACTCATACAATACAATGCTTACGATTCGTCATGGCTGATTTTGTATGATTTGAACTGTTGTGTGCATTATATGTGGACGAAGAATCACAAGATGCTCGGCATGGGCACTACATTTACTTGCTGTAGCTTCGTAGCTTTTCTTCTTGAGGTTTGTTACTAAATTTTAAAGAGTACCCTTGCAGGCGAACAAAAAAACCAGGAACAGGGCTTATGAGATTCTTGTTGAAATTGCCCGTGCCTTTGGGGATGAGGAGAGAGGTGGAAACAGAGAAAACTTGAATAATTTTTTTCAGATGGTAAATATCCAATTTAAAGTTGTTTTTTATCTTCATTGATTAACTGATGTAAACCAATTTGGCTTGATTTTAGAATATTTGAACTTAATTATTCAATACTATACCATCTATATGTTTTGCCCACATCGAGTAATTTGATTTTATGCTTTTGTGAGCTTAGGTTGCTGGACACTTTGCTGGTGAAACTCCGCATATGATAAGTGCCGCAGCCAAAGGTTTAGCCCGTTTGGCTTATGAGTTCTCTGATCTTGTTTTAACTGCTTTGAAATTGCTCCCTGGCACACTTGCTCTGTTGCGGAGTAATAATAGAGAGATAATCAAGGTTTGTTTCGTTGTCTATTTAGTAAGTTAAATGCATTGCTGCCTATGTTATTTTCTAGAACCACTAATTAAATGTGCTTGGTCACATCATTCTGTAGGCCAATCTTGGTTTTTTAAAGGTATTAGTAGCCAAATCACAAGCTGAAGGGTTGCAAACACACTTGAAAAGCATGGTGGAAGGTCTATTGAAGTGGCAAGACAACTCAAAAAATCATTTCAAGGCAAAGGTGGTTTTGCGTCTCACTTGATTTTTTCTGGATACTTTTTTTTGGATGACCGCAGTTTCACAATAGAAACTACTATTGTTCATATTGTAAACTGTGATATTCCCATCGTTTTCAGGTTAAACTTCTTTTGGGAATGCTTGTCTCGAAGTGTGGGCTGGAGGCTGTTAAAGCTGTCATGCCTGATGAGCATATAAAACTTCTCTCCAATATACGCAAGGTCGGTTGAATGTCATTCTGGCAATAATTTATTATAGAAGTTTCCCAGAAATTTGAATCCTTTTTTTAACAGATCAAGGAGCGGAAAGAGAGAAATCGAAGTGTTAAATCTGAAGAAACTAAATCTCACTATTCAAAAGCAACTACATCCAGGTAACAACCATATATATATATATATATATATATCCATTATTAGAAAGAAGACAACAGTTAAAATCCCACACTCAATATCCAATCCCTTTCTTCTTTGTTCTCTAGCATCTTACACACACACACATATAGATCTTTTTGGGGTTACTTAATCCCAAATAGTGGTGCAGTTCACCCTAAATGGGCCACTATACTGAAGTTTAGATATAAAGTTGTAATTTATGCAGTACATATCTAAATTTTCAAAATAAAAAATACCCAAATTTATGACAGCCATAGTGTCGGTGATAACATCTGCTGTAAGAAAACAAAAGGGCAGAACAGTGTCGATGATCTGAGAACAGTGAGAAAAACCAATGGAAAAAGAAATGCTAGTGTAGAATTCATAACTAAGGTCTTTATGTATCTAACTCACGTAAACTTGTATTTTTTGTATCCATAAATTAAATTTGGATTCTAAAGATTTTAAGATTGATCCACCAGCAATCCTCGGATGCACAATCATTTTAAAAGGACATACTTTTGGCACCTCTCAAAAAACTACCTGTTAAATGAGTTTTTCTAATAGTTGGGTTTTAGTTGAAGTTGAGTTGCATGATTAGTCTTCTGATTTTAACATCTTTAACTCTTGAAACCCTGATCATTTTATTGTTGTGAATTTCGTGCAATGTTTGAATTGCAAGACATGTCTATAATCGTTGCATAAAACCAATAATTTATTTACTTTTCAGGCAAAGCATGTGGAATCATACAAAGATTTTTTCAGATTTTGATGGGGATAGTGGCAATAGCGAAGCAGAACACTTGATTTCTAGAGGTGGCAAAGCTTCCTTACATCCGAAATCATCAGCATCTTCATTTAGGTAAGCTGTAACTTTTAACTTTTTCATTCTTCTCGTGTATAAACTCGAATAAAAATTTAACCTTAAAGTATAATCCAAATAAAATTGCATATAAAATATCAGTACAAATAAATTTAGTTTTTCTGAAAAAGAAATTTAAATAAGTTGAACTGCACAGTATAAGTTTGAAAATTTAATTTCTCTACTTATTTTATCTGTTAAAGTACCCGATTAGTATTCAATGTAGATTTTTCCCGTATACTGAATTTTTTTTTGCCATCTCCACTCTTAACCATCTGAAGATAAGTAATATAGAACCTAGCCTTAGCCAAAAGCTTTCTATCTGAAAATCAATTATGACTGAGTCATCTGTATCTAGGTCCAATATCAGGCTGAGGAAGAATTTGCCGGAGCACTTGTCAGACGAATCTGATGATGAGCCACTCGATTTGCTTGATCGGCAGAAAACAAGATCAGCTCTTAAAACGTCAGAGCATCTAAAAAGAAAGTCTAGGTTAGATGATGGGATGGAGGTAGATTCAGAAGGACGGCTGATTATCCGTGAGGAAGGGGAACGGAGGAAGAAAAAACGTGAGGATGATGATTTTGATTCTAGGAGTGAGCCTGATAGTCACCTGTCTGCAAAATCTGGAACTAAAGGCCAGAAACGGAGAAAAACATCAGATTCTGGCTGGGCCTACACAGGGAAGGAATATGGTAGTAAAAAGGCAGGTGGAGATGTTAAGAAAAAGGACAAACTTGAGCCGTATGCATATTGGCCACTTGATCGGAAAATGATGAGTCGGCGGCCACAGCAGCGGGCTGCCGCAAGAAAAGGTATGGCTAGTGTTGTAAAGATGACCAAGAAACTTGAAGGAAAAAGTGCCTCCAGTGCACTGTCCCTACAGAATATGAAGCGAAAAAGGACTCAAAACAAAGGCAACAAAGGAAATAAAAAGGCCGCATGAGCGTAGGTTGAGATTATCGTAATGCATTCGCATTATGCCAATTTTGAAGCTCCCTGTGCTGTATATCAGTTAAACTTAAAAAGAATGTTGTTTTGTTTTCATTCTTTATTTTATGAGAAAGAGAAGCAGGCTTTGGGGTTGCTGTTTTCTGTGATACAAATTGTAGTGCTCTTAAATTGTTTTACAATAGCCCAGGCTGAGTGTGGAATTATCCATGAAAATAATATTTTTATCTTTTGAATTGACAAAAAAAAAATGTTATATTTTTTGCGATAAGTCGGGTTACAATTGCTCGATTGCTTGTAGTCTAATGAAAAATATTAACATTCCAAATTAAGTTAAAATTTATGATCCATCCTACTTTCCTTTCAGCATCCATGCATCTCTTCTACTTACATTTTGCCATCGATAACATTCTGTTTATGCTTTTCGTTGTTGTTACAAAAGTGTCCAAGTAATTTACAATTTACCCTATCCGTGTAATTTAAAATTTACCTTTTGAGGTGGTTTGATATATTTAGTGTTCTCAAAATGTGAAAGAATGATAAAATTACAGATTTTCGAACGTGTATATAGTTTAGTATTATATTTTTTATGGATTAATCGTCGAGCCAGTGGTACAGCAAACAAGATTAATGTCTAGAGAAATTTTTGAAAAACTGATTTCATACAATTTTATTCCCTCCACTTTTGTTTTAAACGAATGAAGTATTTTTGTTTTTGAAGACAAATATTAGTAAATTATCTTCTGGCTAAAATCAATAATACTTATAATAGATTTAATATAAGAAATCCTTTTGAAATTTTGAAAGCCAAGTTCAGTTGAATTTGATAAAATTTAAATGATTTTGTAAGGTTTAAAATTACAACTTAATGAAAAGGAACTAATTATTATTTTCGTAAAGTTTAATATTTTAGTAATTTAAAGAAAATAATGGAAAATGAGAACTTAAAAATTTAAGAAAAAGGTATTTGATAAAAAGATTAAATAGTGTCAGTTGCAAAATTAAATTAAATTAAAAAGATTACAACAACACTATTAATCATTTTGGTTCCAATACGTCATTGCTGTATCTGGTAGTACTAAATGTGCTTCTCATTCTATTGATGTCGTGGAGTTAAAAAAAAGGGGAAATGAATCGTTAGAGAATTTGTCTGTAATTAAGTACAATTATTCCTAAACTCTGCTCATTACAGAAATTACTCATCTATTTATTATTTATAAAGATGCTGTATCTATGGTTTTTACATTAAAAAAAATTCTAAGGTATGCATAAACTATTCGTGTATTTTAAATTAGAATATAAAGTTGATGATGAAATTATTGTTGTTTATAGATACTTTCAATATTGTTGATGATCAAATTTCTTTCAATAAACTATTCTAATGGGAGCATTTCATACGAGTCAAATTCTGGAGATATTTCTGCAAAGCCTTTTTTTTTCTTTTCTCAATCAGTGCATTTGAGTTTTTGCATCTTATTAATACTCGATTTGCTAGTTTGTGATTTTGTTTATTGGCTGTTGTTTTCCTCTGTTTTGTTTGGTGGTGGTTGTTTTTGTTGTAGAAATAGTTTCTTCAACCTAACCTAACCTAATAAATCCCCAAGTGATGCTCTCTGCACTCTGTTCAACGGCTTTGGGACAGTACGTTGACTTTTTCTTCTTCACGTCAACTCAATGTTGTGAATGGTATGAAACAGGTGTTTGTTTCCAGTTTCTACAAAATATATACAATAGTATCTTTAATATTTTCGTTCGAATTATATAACTCAATTTTTGAAATTATAAAAATTAAATAACAGACGAATGATAAAATCAAACAGCGAAAGACTGTAAAAAGAAAGACGATAAAGAGTGCGTGACGAAGTTTCTGAAAGTTTTGTAACGTCTAAAATAATTTATATAATTTTTTTGTGGAACTTTATAACCATTAAATCTTTTAATCTTTGATATTTTTCTTTCAAAATCTAAAAATATATTTGAATAAAATATTAACTTGAGCAATATTTTAAAAAAAACGTGAAGCATAGACAAAATAAATAGAAAAAATGAGTGAAATTGGTTATTGGCGAATGCCCAGGCAGTGAAATTGGGTCTATTTGTTTGTACATGGGAATGAAAGAAAAGAAAGTGTATCCCATAAAAATGGTTGTTAAACGGTTACATCAAAAGTGGGTCAACTCCTACTGTAGCCATGCATGGTAAAGATAGGATTTTATAGGAGTGGATAGACAGTGACTCACTCACTCTCTCTAACCAGGAGCTTCAGATAGATAATAATCTATCTACTCTCTCTCATTCTTTTCCCAACAAACAGTTTTTCCCTCCAACCAAGTAATCCACACCGCATATTTTCTCACCCAACCAAACGCTCCAGTTAGTATGCAATAACTCTCTCGGTACTCACCAACTGCAACCACACAAAAAACAAACTTAACTGTCGACCATAGTCATAGCACCAAAAAACATAACCTCTTTTTAACTCAGATATAAACCTTACCTTATGATAAATGACAAAGTACTTCCCTATAAATTCTGTTTCACTTGAAGGGTGCAAATATGATTGAAGAATTGTGACCCCCAAAACCAAATGAGTTTGATAAGGCTGCCTTGATATCCAGTCTCTCTTTCTTTGACCCAACAAGCACTTTGGCATCCTTTTTTCATTTCACCAAATCAGATAATTGTATTATAAACAATGTGACAACACAATTTTAAGCAAAAAGCTTGTTGCAATAGGTAACACATACCACTCCTGTATCTGGGTTTTCTAGGTTGATATTGGGATGAACCCACCCTGTCCTAATTGCCTGCATTGAGGAAAAATAAAGCTTTTAAATATACTTAGTGTTGAAAACTGAGCTACTACACTAGTGATTACTAGTTTTAACCTGTACTGTGGCTACAGCTTCCACACCGCCAGCTGCCCCTAGTAGATGACCAATCATGGATTTTGTAGAATTCACTTTTAACTGTATTATGATAAATAACAGCATTAATAAAGACTGGAAATCATTACTACCTTTCAATTGGCTAGAATGAGAACGATAGCAATAATATCATGTAAAGTGAAATGTTTAATTACTAATTTGGTCCGTATATTTGCTCAATCTTTACATTTTCATTCCTTCACTTGAAACTTACATGATGTAGTCCCTACCCAATTCATTTTAGTCCCTATAGTACAAAATCATCGGGACTAAAACAGATTAAAGTTTTAAGTTTAGATTAAAAAGTTGTAAGAACTACATGAGTAATTACCAAAACGCAACTTACCTCGGGGTTTTGACCAAAACAATGTATTAGAGCTTGGTACTCTTTAAGATCTCCAGCTGGTGTGGACGTGGCATGTGCATTTATGTAATTCACATCCTCTTTTGATACTCCAGACTGAGCTAATGCCTTTTCAATGCAAAGTATAACACCGGCCCCTGTTTAAGATCGAACAAATAAAACATAAGTGCAATCATAAGTCTCGAATAATCTGCAGGGACACAACTAGGATCATTTATTCTAAGAAAAAATCATAATTATTTAGAAGGTATATCAAAATGACCCTAAAAAGCTAAACCTAACTCCGGAACCATAAAGAAAATGAGGCAGGATACATGTAATCTTTCACAATTCTGGAATTGTCATGATAAAAGTGAGTAATTACATTCCAAAGTTTGGAGATGATACGAAGACAGATTAATGACCGTTTCAATCGTGCTGAGAATTTGTAACAATAGAAATGAATAGCATAGTTTATAAAAGATAAATCTTAATACAGAAAATCATAGATACACTTATTTTCTTCAAAACATGAGTTACAAGAATTTAGATACAGTGCTCACTGCGGACTGCGATTAGACACCAAATGACAAATGATAGTTACTTTCGATCAACTATCTACAAACTTCAGTAATGCAGCTCACAGACTAAAAATACAAGCAGCAGAAACGAAGGGAAACTGCATCTATGGGCACCAAACCATATTCATTTCCACTTCCACTTCCACTCCCTCCTTTTTTTTAGAGCAACGCATGAAAAAACAGAACAGCACCAGATTCACATTTAAAGCATTAATTTTAAATAATTCAAACTGAAATGCTTCAGAATTAGAAGTTTGGCCATCCATACGAGTGAAAGTGCCAAAACATAGAATGAATTCATAAAAGCTAGCCTAAGGATATATGCATATACAGAGCTTCAAGCTTTTATATTTTATACTATTATTATTGTTAGGATATTTATCCTATTTTATCATGATTATATTGTGTCAAGGGTTACCCTATTTATCATGATTATATTGTGTCTAGGGTTACCCTATTTATCATGATTATATTTTGTCTAGGGTTACCCTATTTATCATGTATTTGTGTATCAATTTATTCTTATAAATAGAAGATTGTGAGAGGGATCAATTAAGCCCTCAAGAATTATTTTTTTTCAATCTTAAGTTGGTATCAGAGCGGGTCGATCCCGCTCTGGTTTCTGTCTCGTAATATATATCTGTCCGGCACCACAGTTCTTCGTCGCCCGCCAGATGCCGCCGGCCACCCTAAAACCGCCGGCCACGTGCGCCGCCGCCGGCCCGCCGGCCGCCGGCCACGCCCGCCGTCGTCCATCAATGTCACAGTTTCTTCGTCTAACCTTTAGGGTTTCTTGTTCCTCGTAGTACTATTCGTCTTCTGAAGATGGTCTCTGGCAGTACTCTCTCCTTCTCTGGAAGTCCATCAATTACCTCCGAGTAAGCAAATGGAAAAAATTATCTATCATGGTCTGTGCTGTTGAAATGTGGTTCCTTGGCCAAGGGCATTATGACACCTTGAGCGAGATGGAAGCCATTGTGCCTACTGAAAAGTGATCAGTGGAAACAAGCATATTCCAGTTGTGTGCCCTGTTATGGCAATCAGTGGAACCCAAACTTCTTGTATCTTTGAGGGCTTTCAAATTGTCACTCCTTTTGGAAGAAAGCCCAAAGCATTTATGCCAACGATATTCAACGTCTTTATGACACTACGAACAAGCTTGCATCTCTTATAAAATGGCAGAACATGATATGGTATCCTTCATGGCTGAAGCCCAATTTGCTGTCGAAGAACTTAGGATGTTTTTGGAAGTAGATCCATTAAAGGATATCAAAAAGAAACTAGACAAATTTTACATGGTGTTAATCCTTCGTGCCCTACATCCCGATTTTAA